AGAGGGGATACTTCTCATCGGTCTCCCCAATGAACCGATACCTCAGGAACCCGAGGGTGCACTCCTTGATGGTTATGTTCTTTTTCCGACCCTCCGGGATCTTGGCGAGTTTCAGGCCATCCTTCTCTAGGGTGATACTCCCCACCTTCTCGTGGCGCCGAAAGCGGTCCCTTAGCTCCCTCGGGAAGGGGTTCTCGGCCAACCGGACATAGCACCATCTGTCTTTCCAGCCCTTGTTGGACGAGGGCGCCTCGGTGAACAACTTGAACTTCGCTACCTGCTGCAAATTGGCGAAGCCCTCGGCATTCGCGTGCCCCCCTCGGCACAAGTTGAAGCTTTGGAAGAAGAGGTCCAAGCTTGGGGTAACATCCCTCGTCTGGCACAGGTGCAGGAAGCCAGCAATATATGAATGGCTGTTGGGGGTAAGTTGGCAAGGGATGAGTCCAACGAACCTGAGGTACTCCCGGAGAAATGGGTGCAGGGGGAACCGGAGGCCCATTGACACCGACAGGATGTGGACGGCAATACATCCCTCGGGTGGCCGGGACAGCAAATCATCGACGCCTGGCTCCACCACTTCGGCCGAGGGCCCAACGTGCAGCTGCGTGACGTACAAATCAGCCTTGTCCGCCTTCGACTTGATATCGAGGGCCTCGGTATTTAGCCAGGTATACCCCTCTGGCATTTCAACAGGCCCCCCAGCACCAGCGGCAACACCCTTCTTCTTGGGGGCAGCCCTCTTCGACTTCATCTTCCTTTTATTGCCGGGGGCTATCCTCAGAGGCGTAGGGTCCAACGGCCTGGAGGTACTAGGCTCACCACAGTCATTCCGAGGGGGTGGCACAGCAACAGTGAGCTTCGTCCTCCGCCACCTGGTACGCGAAGGCTAATTCTTCATCTTCGCACTCCTGTTCGAAGCCCTCGGCTTCCACTTCAGCATCTAGGGCCTTCTGCAACTCCAAGGCTACGGCCTCGTCATCAGCAACCGAGGGAGCACTGCTAGTTGACTCAACATCAGAAGCAACCTCGTCCTGAACCGAAGGCTCCCTCGAGATGTCCTGGGAATCGCTCGCGGACGACATTTTTGACAAAGTACGCACCTGAGGTTTCGAAGGCTTTCTACAGGACTCTAACCCTAATCTAAGGCCAGAGGGCGGAACTTACTAAAAGTTTTGAGAGGAAAGCAGGACACTGACCTTGAAAGCTGAGTTTTGACCGGGGGCTTGAGTTTTCTCTCTCTAGAAAATTTGGCAGAGCTTCGCTAACGATATCGGACGCACAAGGAGAATGGTCTGGCCATGGGGTATTTATAGACTCCAGAATCCGGGCTTGGGCCCAAAAACTGGGCCTCCGGCCAAGAGTGATCATTACACGCCGTCTCTTCGCCCAACCGGTGACGCCCGCCCGCGACCAGCCAACGGCTATTCGCCACGTGTACCCCCCCCCCCCAACGGCTATATCCTGACGGTACGTATTCCAACGGCTATATTTCCAACGGCTATATTCTGGGAGCCCCCGGATTTTTTTACTTCACCCCACTTCACCAATGAGAGCCTCCGGGTACACTTACCCAGAGACGCCCCCGGTTTATGCCCCACACGGAACATAACAGTCGCCCTCGGGATCACTCCTTTAGAAGCTCAAGGCTTCACATCAGGCCACCCCTCGGAGATTCCCCCTCAGCACTGTAAGGGCCGGTTAGCCCCCGGGGAGTATACCTCATTGACGGATAGTCTACAGCACACAGGTAATGGGAGCCCTCGGGTATCCTCATCACCAACTAATCAACAAACAGTGGACCCCCCGGTAACAACTCCACTGCTACCCACATTCATTACGCCCTCGATTCCCAGATTGAGGGACTCCCCTTCGGCGCCCCCAGGACATTAACAGCAAAGCCTCCAGCTAATAAACACATGAGCCCTCAGAAAAAGGAGAGCCTTCGGCATTACCGCTATTCTCCATTTTTGACCAAGGTTTCACATTTTCGATTCATCGTTGGGGGAATTCGGTGCACTCTTTTTCCCTCATTAGGATTTTTTCCCCCAGGGTTTTTCCTAATGAGGTTTTTAACGAGGCATCCCCCCAAAATGAAACGAAAAGCGTCAGCCTTCGGCCCACAACAGCAACGCAACTACTCTACTCCTTTTCACCACTTTACAAGTGCCTCAAGAAGTGGGGGACTGGAGGACCCCCTCGGGAAAATCATTAAATTACAAAATTAGTGAAATTCCAACAAACGACAAAGCAAGCCCTCAAGTCCCGACATGTGGGTAACTGAGGGACTGCCTTCGGCAGGGACATAAAAGCAACAACTCCTCACCAACTTCAGAGATTACGACAGGACAACATCGAAGGGCAAGCACAAATTACTCCTTTTCCCTCAAATACCTTTCGGCAAAAGGAGTGAGGGACTCCTGATGGAGTATATGGCCCGGGAACCCCCGGCCCACAGACTCCTACTACTCCAGTAAAGGCCCAACAGGCCCAAAACATGGCGCCCGGAGTGCCAAGCAGCCCACAGCGCACCAGGGGTGCCTTCGACCCCCTGGCCGAAGGCTCTAGACTCTCACAGAACGAGTTTCTCAAGCAAACTAAGAAACTGGGAGAAAACGGCGAAAACAGTAGCCCTCGGCACCAGGGTGCCATCGGTTTGAGGAGCCCTCGGCTGCTGCTCTATAGCCGAAGGCACCTCACTCGACAAGATCTCCTCTTCACGCGCGTACAGATCACCGTACCCTGTACAACGTCCCATCCAACAGCCGCATTAAATGCGGCCACATGCGGTTGCCAGCGCCAACCAGATGAGGTGACCTCTCGGCCAATGGATGCTTGACACGTGTCCCTGTCCGGCATTTATTGCTACTATAAATAGCACCCCCTTTTCCCCGTTGTAAACCACGACATTCAGACTGAATACACTCTCTCTCTTATTTATTTATGCTCTGACTTCTCTCTAAGTTATTCTCAGCAATAACCCCTCGGATATATACCCCCCGGGTAGACTATCCATCAATATATATATATATATATATATATATATATACACACACACACACACACACACACACACACACACACAAAATACACTTTGTACATATACACTTTGGATATATATATATATATATATATATATATATATATATATATATATATATATATATATATATACAGTTTATCCAAAAAAAAACTATGTATCCTGTAACAATATAAGTCAAAATATATGTTAAAGAAAGTATGTTTTTAATTAGACTGAATTTTTTAATTAGAAAGTTGTGGAGAAGTATAGAGACACTAAAAAGGATCTGCATTTGGTGTTCATTGACTTAGAAAAGGCATATGATAGGGTATCTCGAGAAGTTCTTTGGTGGGCCTTAACTAGAAAAGGCATATCAAGTAAGTATATCAGCATCATCATGGATATGTATGATGCTTGTACTACAAGTGTCCGCACTAGTGTAGGGAGGACCGCAGAGTTTCCTATTACTATCGGAGTGCACCAAGGATCTGCTCTGAGTCCTTTCTTATTTGCTATAGTCATGGATGAACTTACGAAGTCCATTCAAGAAGATGTACTGTGGTGCATGATGTTTGCCGACGATATTGTATCGATTGATGAGACATAATCCGGTGTTAAAGCAAAGTTGGAAGTATGGCGACAAACATTGGAGAGCAAGGGTTTTAGACTGAGCCAAAGCAACACTGAGTATATGGAGTGCAAGTTCGGTGGAGGTAGAAGTAGTAGCAACAGTGGGATTACTCTTGATGGTAAGGAGATACCGGTGTGTTATATGTTCCGTTACTTGGGATCCATAATTCAGAATGATGGTGAATTAGATGGAGATGTATGCCATAGAATCAGAGCCGGGTGGATGAAATGGAAAAGTGCTTCAGGATTTCTATGCGATCGAGGTATGCCGACTAAACTGAAAGGTAAATTTTATCGTACAGCAATTAGACCGGCATTAATGTATGGCATAGAGTGTTGGGTGGTGAAGCAATGCCACATTCAAAAGATGAGTGTGACAGAGATGCGTATGTTGCGTTGGATGTGTGGACATACCAAAAAAGACTGTTTGTGGAATGAGGTAATCAGACAAAAGGTGGGAGTAGCACCTATAGAAGATAAGATGCAGGAGTCTCGTTTGCGGTGGTTTGGGCATGTGCGTAGAAGACTGAGTGATGCACCTGTTAGATGACTTTAGGGGGTGGGGAGAAGAGTCAGTGAAGAGAGGGAGGGGAAGACCCAAACAGATTTGGATTAGAGGAATCAGAACTGATAAGCGTCTTCTTGGGTTGGATGAGAGTATGGCTTTGGAGAGAGCAAAGTGGAGGGCGCATATCCGTGTGGACGATTGATGGCTTGTCTACCTTTCCTCTCTTTTTTTCTTTTATCGTTTATCTTCCTTATCTCTTTATATTCTTATGTTATTTTTATCTTCTAGCTTTTTCATGTTCTTTTATTTTTCTTTTATCTTTGTTATATTCTTGTGTTATTGTTATCTTATATTTATTTATCTTTATTTTATTCATGTTATCTTACTTTTTTTTCCTTTTCTTGTCTGTCTTCTCTTTTTGGCATCGATATCATAGAGCGATTCTTGTTAGCCGACCCCAAATTCATTTGAAATTAAGGCTTGAATGTTGTTGTTGTTGTTGGTCTAATCTTGCAGATGTACTTATGTGAGAAAAATGCATAGTTTTGAGGCCCTCTATTAGCAAGATGTTAGATGTCTAAAGTCTATATAAATTTTGGTGTTTTTAATTTATGGATGGTGACGTTGTATGCTAGTTCCAAATTTTGTTTTGAACTTTTACTGTACTTTTACTATATACTTTTAACGTCAGTTTTTATTTAATTTGATAATGTTATTACATTCTAACTCTGCCAGTGTTAGCAATATTATTTTTTATGAAAAGATGAACCAAGACCAGAACCGACTCATTTCAAACGAGACAGGTAAGCATTTGTTCCTAGTACAACACATTATATACCTGATCAAACCTATCATTTAATGGAACACTTGATATTTTATTAATAACCCAGATCTACCCGGACCGTGTTCATCCCTATGTCTGCATGTAAGCACATATAGGTGTTGAATTTTAAGTGTAAAATTATATACATATAAAATCTACAGAGTAATGAGTTATATTTATATATTATTCTAGCATAAGAGTCCACAAAATAAAGGAGGGGCATTAAGCAGTATATAGCGACCCAATTTCCTCTTCAAATCCACGTCTTGTTCAATGATCATGGAAATACATAGGGATGAATTCCACCATTAATCTTCCCCTACTGCTATCAGTAGCTTCGTAGATGAGTGTCAATGGCCATATCAGGACAATACAAGAGCTGATCACTACTTGGTTTATAATAAACTCATCATAAAAGACATAATCAGGAAGCACTTTGCGCAACCCTTATGGTCAGAGATTTGCTAAGGTGGCTCTCTCCGTCTTCTCCCTGGCAATCTAGTCAATAGTCAGGTTAAGTTTCAAATCTTAGTACTAGGCTCGATCCCCCCTCCCCTCATTATAGCTTTCGGATATACTCTTCTAAAATCTCATCAAAACGTTCTCTGGCCAACCCTTGCCTCTTGATGGACTTTACAATATCATCTGCTCTTTCAAACTTTCCCTTGGATTCCAAATATTTCACACAAGTAGCCAACAGTCGCATATTAAGTTTCCCTCCCGGACGAGTTGCCAAGACTGATTTCCACAATGCCTCCACTGCCTTATCCATTTCCTTGTTTTCAGCATACCCACGCCCCATGCGGCCCCACGTCCCTCCACCAACCTTTGCCCCCATCCTCTCCACAACTTTCTCCACAACCGCTTCCGCCTTTCCCAAACTACCCCTCCTGCAGTGGCTGTTTATGAGGAAATTCGGGATTCGGATGTCAAAGGTCATTGAATTATGAGATTCCCATTCTTCCGCTATCTTCTCCATGGCGTCATGTTCGCCAAGCTTTTCAAGGGCACTTATCATAGCCAAGTATCCACTACTTGTCTGCAATTTTCCTACTCCTTTGTATTCTTCCCATATGCGGTAAACGTCAGCTCTCCTTCCCAGACTAGCGTAGAGAGAAAGTAGGAAGTTATAATCAATCTCGTCCCTCCTGCGTGCGGTTGCGCCTTCAAAATTCTTCACGGCTTCTAGAGCTTTCTTGAAATCGCCGGCTCTTATGTAACCGTTGGCGAGTATCGTATAATAACACGAATCAATGACGATCCAACGATCTACTTCCATCTTCTTCACAAGACCTTCCATTCCAGTTACATCACGAGCGGTTGCGTATGCATTTAAGCGTGTGTATTGGAAGTATTTGTCTACAATGACCCCCATTTCTTCCACTTGTTGTGCTAATAAGTGCAATTTGTCAAATTTCCCCAACTTGGAGTAAAGATTCATCAACAGAGTAAATGACACGCACTGATCATAACCAAACTCATCCCTCATCTTCTGCAAGGTGTCTTCCGCTTTATCCACTTTTTTGAAGTGGACATAACAGTTTAGCAAAGCGCCGTATACCTTATCAGTTCTCAAATTCATTGGAATGTTGTGGAAATACTTCTCAGCCACATCCAGACCATAGGTTTTCCCTATCAAATCCAAGCGTATGGCTATATCACCTGGAGACAGTTGAAGACTTTTTGACTCATCAATCCATTCAAAAATCTGCAGATCAATGAAAAGAGACAGTTAAGGCACAACAAAGAACAGAAGAGCAACAAACGACAGAAGTTGAGTAAATATTGAATTAGGCCAAACCTAAAAGGATCGCTGTGAGGACGGGCTACCCCCAAAGTCACAAGACAAACAAAAACAAATGATAATTAGATCAGACTGTATATATTGTACTAATTTGGACTGAACTCAGCCCAAAATGGTCCTCACGTAGTGAAGGTTATTTCAAATGTATATATTAGAAGAAGATCTAATATATATCTGATGTATGATACTTAAAGAGTAAAACAATGTTGTGGAATGCATCGATGGGTCGATGTTAAACATGACTAGTAGATGCCAGACGTGATCCGAGTACAACTAGACATTACATACACTGGGAAAAACCTGAAGCATTTCGGTTGAATATAGGCTATGAACAAAATATGCGAGTAACATTACAAATATTGAGTTGCAGATGGGCACAGGTGAGTAAATATTGAGGATTTGAAAGAGAAAGGCATGGAAATGATGGAATTGAGAAAACCTGGAGAGCGTATTTGGGGAATCTATGTTTACGGAGCCGTTTGATGATGTGACGAAGAATTTGAAGCTCAACCGGACGACCTTCCTTAACCCACTCGTCGATTATGGGAGCGATTGAATGTTTGTGCTTCTCTTCACCCATAATCCGATGGTACAGATTGTCGCCTATCTGGGACGGTGAAGGAAAAAGAGAGACAAGAGACTTTGCTTCCGTGGAGAAGAATAAAACCCTAGAGTCTCTGTTGCCATTCTGAACTCTTTTCCAAATTGAGCTCACAGAAGGAACAAGCAGCTTCTTCATCTTCAGATGCTCAATGTTTCACATTTACTCCACCGTTTCTTTTAACTGTAATGGCAATATTTGTTCAATTGTCCAAACAAGAAATATTATCAACAATCAGAAAAGACTTGTTCAATGACAGTTTTTATATGCATAAGTTTCAATACAGAGAAAAGTTTCAAGGGCATAAACATTTTATTCCAATGAAAAAAATTACGAGAGAACAAACTAAAGCCTACCAATTAGCTAAAGTAAATGAAGCTAGGACAAATTAACAGAGGGTTAAAGAAAGTTAAGACAACAATAAGAGCATGTTTAGTAACATTGGAATTGTCTGGATCGACTGAACTGGCTGAATCTTCTGCTTTATGAAAACATTATATTATTTTACTGTAAAAAATGGAAATTTTAAATTTTTTATATAATGTGTAGATTAAAGAGTAATATGATATTTGGTTCAAGGGCAATATGATAGTGCAAAATTTGGAAGAAAAATAAATACTAAGGATGTTTTAAAATACATCCTTAGTATTTTAAAATACATAGAGACCACACAGAGACAAGTTCAGACCAGACCAAACCAGACTTGTTCAGATCAGACCAGATCAGATAAACAAATTTTAGTCGAAGTAAAAACATCCTAAACTATCCGAATATGCAAAATTATGGACAGAGTTATCGAAAACCATATTTTGAAAATGACCATATGCATACATACTACTGCTTGAAGCAAAATTTGATAGTTTGTGATGTTGGAATATGGAAATAATTCACACTACAAATATTATTTATATTTCTTAATTGTTAAACAACTCGTTGTGTGTGGGTAATGTAATAGAAAAAACTAGAAGTACAATCAACAAGATTTTAAAGTTATTAACTTTTTAGAGCATGGATACTAATCAAAATAATATTGTAGAATAATATACTTTGATTACATCTGATTACATTCTTTAGCTGTAATGAAAACCCAAAGTTATGAATTTGTGTTTGATAAGATTGTAATGAAAAAAGAAAATGTGCAATAATCCTTATGGATCTTATTTGTCTGGTCGCTATGAGCATAATCCCTGATGTTTCTATTTCCAACCGCCATATCAATAAGGTCTTTGACCCAAAAAGCAGGAACTTGTGAAACTATCGAGGTATTGTAAATCCTCTTACCCAAACCTGCATATGTGTTTATTTTTATGCTGAAAATTGTGTCAAAGGGAGTATTGCTTAAGCTTTTGAAGAACTGAGCATATGGGTTTCGTGACATGGTTTCTACCAAATTGGAGACAATAACTTGTCTAGTCTGTCACAACTTTGAAGCCTATTTTGTATCCGATTTTGTGTGTTAAAGAAGTATAATTTTAGAACTTGAGGTGGGGATCCATTTGGTAGATCATTTATGAAATGATGAATTTGCCCTCACACCTTGAAAGTGTATACTCCATTGTTTCTTCGGTATAAGTATTTATCAGAGTTGTATATACCAATCGAAGTAAAGGAAAATGTGTTGTTATATGTCCTAACTGAAGCCTGAAAATGCTTTGCTTAAATATGTTTTCCAGTAAACATTTCTCAATGGTTAGAAGGCATGTCAGTTGATACCAATGCGACTCCATCTTGGCAACAACTTAACAGATTCCTAATGACTCATACTGCATCCGGTTAACATTGCAAAAGAAACAATTTGGAGTTTCAAAGAGCGAAAAAGGTACTTCACGATATTTGAATGGGGGAAGTGGATCTGAAGAATAGTGCATAGAAATAGATGAAGGTTTGTACGGAGAGTTGATAAGTCCATTTTTGTACTTATTTTTCTTATCAAATTTAAGTGATTTTGGATTGAAAAATAGAAAAACAATGCATGTTTTATACATTTTGGTTCAAGTTTTGTGAAATCAGGTAAAAATCACGTCCATGATATGTTTGATGAAATTTCGGGTCAATTAAGCACAAAATGCGTCAATTTGAGTAACAAATGATATCATACCGAAAGAAGGAAGCAGAATTTCAAAGAAGTCCAGAAGAAAAAATTGAAGAGCACAAAAAAGGGAAGAAGCCAGACTAATAATCTCACAGGCGGCCAGGAAGGCGGCCAAAAGTGAAGGCCTTCGCGGCCGCCTACCGTTGTTTTTGGAAAATCAACATTTTTAGAAATTTGACCGGACCGGAGAAAAACCAAAGGCGGCCGACACTGGACGGAAGGCGGCCGCATTCGATGACCGCCTGCGGCACAAGGCGACAAACCAACCACCGGTCGGTGGGATTTGACGGCAGGCGGCCAGACAGGAATGGCAGGCGGCCGCCTGCTGGACCGCCTGCGACGGATGAGTTGACCGGCGCACGTTCGACTGTCGGTGATGGGACGGATGGCGGCCGGGACAAGGACAGAGGCGGCCGCCTGGTTGGGCGCCTACGGGATTTTTTGTCCTATAAATATCCCGATTTTTGCTGAACTCAAACACACCATTCTTTACCCTAATTCAGTTCAAAAGCTTCAGTTCTTCCTCCATTTCCGCAGCTCCAAGGTCTTTTGGGAGAAAGAAACTTCAAATCTTCATATCTTCTTCATTTTAGCTTCAAATTGTAAGTTCTTTATATGTATTTTCATCCTCTCAACGAGTAGAATCTGAATCTGTGCTTTGTTTTCTCGACCTGTTCTTTGAATTTTTCCAGAAAATTTATCAAGTATTTCGCATTTTCTTCCAAAAACTAAATAAAATAGTTGTTGATGTTGAATTCATTCCAATTAATTATATAGTTGTTTACTAGCCTCAAGGTTGTTATTTATCTGAAGAAAGTTAATTTTCCCGAAGCAGAAGTAATTTTTTATTAATTTCGGTAATTAGTTGTTATTATTGCATAAATTAAATTAATTACTTAAAAATAGTAAAAAAATAGTTTCGGCCCTAATTCCAGTTTATTTCACTGTAATATCACCCCAGTAGTCAATAGAAAATTTAGAACGAATTTAGCCTATTTTTAATTGTCTTTTGTATTTTATAGTTAAAAGTGGGAAAATTATCAATTAGGGTTAAAATTGGATTTTAGGTTTAAAAATTCGTCAAAAAATCCAGAAAGTCATATTGTAGTTCCAGATAGTTTATTTTGACAAGATCTTATTTTTGTTTAATTTTTGCTATTATACATGTTTAATTCCTTGTTAATGGTTAATTTATTTACCATATTGTTGAATGCAAAAATAATGTTTAGTAGCTAAAATTGTTTTGGGCATGAATTGAGTAAAAGAACATGGATTGACTTGTTAGCCGAAAATTAAGGGTTAAAATTAATTAATTGGACTAGTTATTCAAATTGATGAATTAGTAATTAATAATTGGTAGCCATTTTCATTAATTAACTTTTGGAAAATTATTTCTAACTTGTCTATGAGATTAGAAAATAAATTGAGCCAACTTTATTCAAGCACATTAATAAGGCCTAGAAATAGGAAATTTTAATGAAATGGATTTACATCTTGTCTATGAGAAATAAATTCAAATTGCTTAAATAATGAATTTAATTAGTTAATGAATTTGGCTATTTTTATTAATTAAAATATTGAAGAATTTTTTATGTCTTGTCTATGAGATTAGAATTTAATTCAAGCCAACCATTTTTGAATACATTAATGAAACCTAGAAATAGGATAAATTAATGAAAGTAATTTCTATTCTTGTCTATGAGAAAAGAAATTATTAGTCAAATTTTAGTTTTAATTTCCCTAATTACTATGTTCAAGAATATATCCATTTCCATATACTCAATTCATTGCCCTTAATTGCCTCAATCTTTTTATTAATCTTTAGAATATTTGATCTTAAATCTTTAGTTGAAATTTGCTCCTAGTATAATTTTGCAATTTGGGCTAGTTTAGAACACAATCACATTCTTTTGTATTGAAAAAGCTTCCAACAATTAGCGGTAGCCCGTGACTAAGACTTAATTAAGAAAACTCCTCCGACATTCTTCAAGAGACACGATACTCGGGGAAAAACCGAAAGGTTAGACTCCATTTTACTACAACGCCGCAAAAGCGGTTATCAAGAGTAAATTAGTTGAGTTTTTTATTCATCATATATAAAGGTTGATAAATAGATTGAGAAGTAGAATGGTATAAGTAGGTGTTATTTATGAGATATTTGGATATTGTACAAAGTTAACGGTTAGTAATGATTTTGATGGAGTAAGAAGTGACATTGTAAAGATTGGCTGAAAATTGGCATACCTATAATTTCTAACAACGGAGTATTAATTTCTTGCTCTCGATGTGGGGTTAGAACAATTTGTGTTTTGTCAAATCCGCTCACATTTGAAGAAGAGCGCAACCTACGTTTAAAATTTCTCTGTCGTCGACGTGTGTGATTAATATCTTTGATCCTAGAGGACTAACAAGCGTCCATTGATTGCTGATAAGTATGTAGCGGTAAGAATTCACATTACTAATAAGTATGCTTATTAATTGTAACAAAAACTTAACATTGAAGGGAAATGATGGAGTTTGTAAATATTGATAAGGTTGGTGGTACGATTGTATTGCAGTTTATATATGCAGACAATTACAAAAAATGATTAGAAAGACTAACCGGAAGCATGTAACCCTTGTATTTTTTTTGTCTCTGGCCTTTAAAAAAGGTCGAAGCAAAGTATGAGATTATATAATGTCAATTCATTAATAAATCAAAGGTACGTAGAATGTTATCAATGTGAAGTGATTGTTTACATGTTACATTTTAGTTTTAAGCAAGTACGGTAGCCGGTAGGTGTTCTACCGGAGAAGTACATACTAAGTAACTATTTAATTATCCCTTAAGTTTGGCTAATGAGGCCTTTAAAAGATCAAGAATATATTACGCATGCATATTGTGTAATTTTAACTTTCCAAATAAATTCTGGTGTGCAAAAATAGCAATGTTTTAAGCGACTTAAATGTGAGTATTCACAAGTGGAAATTTTAATTAATATCGGCAGATTATAACAAGACTATGAGGATGAGAAGACATACTTATTGATGAAAACAAAAACTCCTCCTTTGTAAACAAGTGACAACTGCTAGCAAATGTCCTGATATAAAGTGATATTGCTAAATATTTATTGGTAATTGTAGAATGAAAGCAACATGAAGTGATTGTTTATATATTACAATTTACTTTTAAGTAGATATGGTTAGGTGTTTTACTGAGAGAAGATATACTAAGAAACTGTTTATGGATACCTTTAAACTTGTTTAATGAAACTTTCAAACATCTAATGTATGCTAATATTAGTCACGAGTATTGTGTAAGTATGGTTTCTTAAAAAAATTGGTGTTAAAGAATATAAATGTTTTAAGTAACTCAAATTTCTAAGTGTGAATAGTTAGTAGTGCAAAAATAAACATTGAAAAAGAAAAACAAGCTAAGGTTGTAAACAATTAAACATAACCTTCTTTTGTAGACACACGACCCTTTCAAATGTTTATCAATAAGCAAATTTTTTCTTTGTAAACATGTGGCAACTGTTGGAACTTTCCTGATACTGCTATACATTTATTGTGTAACAATATTGCCATATTGGTATTTAAACAGATTCTTAAATTCTTTGATATATTTTAAAAAACATTTATCTGAAAAAAGTGGAAAACATATATTTTAATCTAAGATTAACTTGTAGATGTTTTTCCCCTGACATGTACATATAAATAAGAAAACAAGTAACTAAAATGTGAACTTGTCAACCTACTCATCATCATCATCATTTTCATTTACCCCAGTGGCGCAAAGGCTCCCACCTACGATGGGGTAGAGGGGGGAACGGATGTACGCAGTCTTACCCCTGTACTAAAGCACAGAGAGACTGTTTCCGGATGACCCATAGTGAAAATCGCGTCCAAAATTGCATGGATTGACTGTTGTTTCATAACAAAGAAGCACAGACAATTTAGTGGGTCATTTTGCTTTATTCCATCATAATCTCAAGCCAAAAAAATAATGAATCTTTGGCTCCATTGCAAATGATGAAAAAGAACTTGTCAACCTACTGTTTGAAGGGAAAATTATTGTAAACGGAAATAACTTTGGGAGTGTTTAATTGTTGGCGTAGTGCAGAGAAATATGTCTTTGGTAATATGTGTAATTATAAAGTATGATCTTAAAAATGTTCTTTTTTGGTGGTTTTATAAAGAAGTGCATTTGTCGTTTCAATTTTCATGTTCCATTTAAGTCTTAAGTAAGTACATTTAGGTCTTGTACTGTACTTAGAAAGTTCCTTAGAGGCATTTTGACGAACAGTATGGAGCCATTAGTTAAGGGCAGAAATTGAAAACTTTCCGCAATTTTCAGGCCACTGTTGTAAACTGATATCATGATGAAACACTGGTAACCAGACTGAAATAATAGTTTTATAGTGCTGCACTTAAACGCAATCAATCTTGTGTGCAGGAAGCAATTAATTTGATTTCCTTTTCTTTGATGTGAACAACAACTGTGAAGTTCAAGAGAATGTGGATAAAGTTTGCTAGAGCCTACAATTATGCTTTTTCTAATGTTTATTAGTTCTTTGGAATAACGAGTTGATGTGTGATTACAAAGCGGAAAATATGCAGCCATGTTTGTCGATGATTAACTTGCAATTGAATTTCAAAGACAATGTAATTATTTAAAGTGTAGAAGAAGTATATGAATTAAAGAGTGGTGGTGATAGGCAAGGGAATACCTTGTATTTGGTGGGGTGCTGGAGACAACGATACAAATAAGATTGAAGGGATGACTTTCATCCTGAGAAAGTATAAGCAGGGATAATGGCCGTTGTTGAAACATCGGCGGTCACACAACTGCAGGAAAAAGTTCGAACTTCGGCTGACGGCATAGGTGAGAAGTAGACGGGAAAAGAACAAGTTAACTCATAAAATAAAATTATATAAGCAGAGATATTCTATTAATAAAATAAAATTAAAAAATTATATGCAAAAATAACTAAAGTCACCTTTTAGTTTCAATCATTTCAGTCAGAAAAATAATTACAACCTTACTATTTTGATTATTACTCAATTCAACGTGCAAAATCTCAGAAAAGTAACTCTAAACATCAATCACATATTACTTCCCAGATATTCAATCCAAACAATCCAGTCCAGCGTACAAAACCAGCAGCAAAAAAATGGCCATGATAAAACTATAAAAGTAGTGCACCCAAACTATTTTCACAAAAAATACTAAGTACTCCCTCCGTCCCGCAAAGAAGTTCCCGATTTGACCTACACACATATTAAGGAAATAAACTTACTAGGGGGTAATTTTTACTGTTTTGACACTGTTTGACACTGTTTTGAACTGTTTTGATGTAAATAACTTCCCATTTAAGAAAATGGGAACTTCTTTTTGGGATTGCTAAAAAAAGAAAGCGTGAACTTCTTTGCAGGACGGAGGGAGTATGAAATATCAACTAAAAGTATACTGCGTAACATAGATACAACCACAAAGTATAAGATCTGTAACGCCTAGTTTCTGGAAGTCACTCTTTACTTGAATATTGAACTAGTTACATTTGATCATTAGTGGGGGTGGGCATGGTTGGTTAACCATGGATTGGTTAACCGATTTATGGTTAACCGAGATTTCGGTTTATATATTTATAATATCATTAACCGTACCGCAATGATGCTTAACCGAGTAATATTTAACCATGGTATTGGTTAACCATTAATTGGTTAACCGAAAAACCGTCGTAGCCTCTTAGGAAACCGTTAATAGATACGTAGTACTAGGTACTAACGACCTGGGTTCCATCTTAGTGCATGCGCATAGTATACATACAAAATTAATAGACTTAATATTTGTTTTCAATTATTAATTCATTTTGCAATTCATGTAGGTAATTGGTCCTTGTACATTATCACTACCTGACTCACGTATGAATGTGTTAGAGGTTTAGAAGCATGCTTTTACTTGGACAGTTTACGGACAGTGTAGATTCTGTAGTATTAGCGGTTAAGTTATTGTTCCTGTAGCTCATTGATTTGATTTCTTTAGTTTCTTATACTACGTATATTCTTTTATACGTGAAAATGAAAGGGTGTTATTCAATTTAAGTCATGCTTCCTTGAGGAATGTTGTTGAGAGAATATTTAGCATTTTTAAATCACGGTTTGCGGTTTTTAAGTCAGCTCCTCCATTATATTCCCAATCAAAATGCAAGCAGAGTTAGTATTGACTTGTGCAGGAGTGCATAACTTTCTACGCAAAGAGTGTCGCTCAGATGAATTTCATGTTTCTTCAGATGATGAAGACTCTTTAGATGATTCTTTATTAGAAGACGACGAAGATAAAATTGACACTCTCCAAACGTAGGATGAACAAAAGCAATTTGCAAATCAATGGAGAAACGGTATTGCACAACAAATGTGGACGGATGTTATCAATGAAGATTACATAGATTGAATGTATTCATTTTGTTACTTTACTAGGGTTCCTAATTGTTTAAGGTTGTGCTTTGATTATGGATTAAATATCAATTACATAGTTTATTATATTTCAATTTGAGGTTTTTCCTTAAACATGACTAGATTGAAGCCAAATTATCGTTAACATTTCCCAATGAATTTAAAAAAAAGAACGAATAATTTTTTTTATCAAAATATTCCGACGACTTTTCAATGAAGAGAAGCATGTTAATCAGGTTTTTCTTATCATCAAACTCTTGCCCAACCTCGAATTCACCAGCTATAGAGAAGCGACTAGAAGTTGTACAACCCCTCCATGATTCATCAAATCCCACAGGGAGGTCATCAACTTTAGTGTAGTGACTGGATGGAGCATTGCCACTTACGAGATCACCAACATCTTCATCTGAATCTGTCAGTGTGTCATGATTCACATTTTCATCTGCATCGTCGTCGATGTGCTGTGAATCCAGAAATGTTGCATCACTGTTCACGTATCTTCCATTCTCCTATGCAACCATATTCATCACAACTGGAACACTTGTGGATGGGTAAGATAATGACAGGTTCAGGTTGTACGGGCAACACAGTCGCTTCTTCAACATATATCTCCATGGTATGCATAGCAAGATTCGTGATCAAGGTCCACATCCCCATAACGGCTTCATCGTCACCAAGAGGCATCAACATGTATGCCCCACCATGAACGGGATATTTAACTTTCAAATCCAACGTGTTCATATGATTGATGGATGTGGTGGTATAAATTTTATTCATTAACTCAGCCACATCCACCCCATAGGAAACAACAATTATCTTCCGACTCCCCCATTCATAACGAATTCCGTTCGACTCCTCAATTATATTTACTCCCCAATGACACACAATGGGGAAGTTTGGAGACATATTCTATCAAAAATCATTCCAAAAAAATGTGATTTATGTCGCACATTGAAAACTCGACTACTAATTCAAACAAATTAAACTGTATTAAATCATATGTATCATTTTTTTTGATTTCATTCAATTACAAAATCTGATAGATATATCAAACTCAAATTCTACAAATTATATAAAATCAAGCATAATAACTAAATTACCAACTTATATATCTCATAACATCAAATACAAAAAAAATAATCCAAAAAAGAGCGATTTTTGAACAAAAAATTTAAAAACCCTAGGTTTAGCATAATAGACGAATTACCTCGATTGAAACAGTTGAAAGTCGATAGAATGAAGCACAAACGACCTCGGGTACACCGTGTCTCTTTTCCTTTGATTCAAAATCAATCCAACCAACACAAAAAATAATTCAAATTATACAAATTATATAAATTCAATCATAATAACAACATTAAGAACTTATATATTTCATAACATCAAATACAAAGAGAAAACTTAAAAAAACACTAATTTCGAACATTAAATTAAAAAAAAAACTAGGTTTAGCAAAAGTGGTGAAATACCTCGATTCAAACGTTTAAAAGGCGGTAGAATGGAGCACAAACGACCTTGGGTACACCGTGTCTCTTTTGTGTTTGATTTGAGCTTCCTTTTGAGGCGTTCTGGCCGGAATTGGAATCGTTTGTTCGTCGTTCGTCGTTCGTGAAGAGGGAAGAAGGGGTGTTTTGCCATTTGTGTTCGTCGGCCGGGAAGAAGGGGTGTTTTCTGCGAATTAATGAGCCGCCACTCGAAGTGGCGGCTTTTGTGAAGTTATACAAGAGACGCCACTTCAAGTGACGACTTTTCTTAACCGTGGTTAATTCCAGCAATATTTTGGGAATTATTATTAACTGTGCAATATTTCAGGAATTATTTATTTAATTAGCATTATTCCGGGAAAAAACTTCTCGTAATACTCCGTACTTGATAAAAATCATTATAATAATGGCAAAGAAAAGTGGCTAGAATAGGTAATTTATTTATACTCGTAATAGCTTTTAAATGGGAAAATTCCTAATATAGGAGTAAAAAAGTTTTGAAAATTCCAAAATAGGATTGTCATGTTTTTATTCTAAAAATATGAGTAATTACTGTTAAGTTTGAAAAATACTGCCATGTTTAAAGTCTGGTATTGTTAAAAGTTAAAACATGACAGTAATTAGTCCTATTTTGAGAATAAAAATATGATAATTCTATTTTGAAATAATGGTTTTAATCCTATTTTAGGTAATTTCTCCATTTAAATACATTTGCGCCATGTCGGGAAAAAATACAGTTGGGCCTGAAGCCCTCACCCCGAAGTCTATATTCTACGGAGTACATCTCTCGCTGCTACTCAATGGGTGCCACCTCATCGATCCGAATGGAAACGAGACCCCTGAGCCGTTAATCTGAATCTTATCAACGTCCCAAACAAACGCTAACCTCAACGCCAGGATCTGAGCCCAAAACGAAATATCCCAAACTTCATTTCATAAAAAATTCAAACGAAATATCCTCTCTCTTCCAAACCCGCCAAATCTCAAATCCCACGAGTAGTATATATATACTGGAAACGACTTCAATTGTAAATGTACTTCGAAATCACACCAAAACCCTCGATCTAGGGATTTCTTCTTCTCTAATTGTTTTGATCAGCTCTTCTCTGTTCAACCATGTCTGGCCGTGGCAAGGGAGGGAAGGGTCTGGGAAAGGGCGGTGCTAAGCGTCACCGCAAGGTTCTGAGAGACAACATTCAAGGAATTACCAAGCCGGCGATTCGGAGGCTGGCCAGAAGGGGCGGTGTGAAGAGGATTAGCGGGTTGATTTACGAGGAAACCAGAGGAGTCCTTAAGATATTCTTGGAAAATGTGATTCGTGATGCTGTTACCTACACAGAGCACGCCAGGAGGAAGACGGTTACCGCCATGGATGTGGTCTATGCTCTGAAGAGGCAAGGCAGGACCCTGTACGGATTTGGTGGTTGATCTTTGTATGGATTGGGATCTCATTTTAGCTTTGTTGTAGCGGTCATCGTCTTGATTATGAATCTGGTGTTATAAATTATGTGCTCTTACTGTTGAATTTAATGAAAGTTTATTAGGAATTCGTTCAAAGAGTTTCATCAATTTGATTTTTGTTGTTGTGAATTTCTGATTGTCATCCTCTTACAATTTAAGATAAAGAATTCAAAGAAACATTATACGGAGTAGTTAACTAAAGGAACTTTAGAAAGTAGTATCCTGTTATTATCAAGCCCTGCTAATTCCATGTTACAAATCTAAGAAATGTAATGTGGAGTCGAAGGGTAACTACTGATCCATAAAGTAATGTGGATAACCAAACATTGTTATGCTTGGAAATGCAAAAACAACACCAAACACCCATTAAATAGTTTGTTGCTTGATCAATATTTTTAGCCTAAAAAAACAAGTTCAAATCTACCATTTGAGGCTTTGCATAAATGAAAATATTGCTATATCTTAGAAAGTAATGGGAAAAATTGATAGTAAGGATGTTTTTTATTTGAGCTCAAATTTGTTTATCTGATCTGACTAGGTCTGATCTTTTTAAGTCTAATTTAGTCTGAATTGATCTGGTATGATAAAGGTTGATAAATACTTCCAACATTGACATTGATCACAAATTTAGTCCGAAGAGCGTAAAGAAAAGAGTAAAAGCTGGGGTAAAAAAAATTAAAGTGATGAACGATTAAATAAAAAAATGATTGATGTGCAAACAGTGATCCCTGTTCATCACCATCCAATTGCAATTAAAAGAGGTGGCACTTTTGATTCTTTCCTACTATTGGAAATATACATTATAAATACACTCCACACACACGCACACTGCCATAACATTTATGGCATCTTCCTCAGTTACTTCATCTTCCACAGTTCCTTCTTCCCATCGACCCCCCTAAACCCGCAAATTTTAACAACACATGATGAGGGTGATGTAGCATAGCAGATGATTTTACCAACAAAAAAGGCTTTCAAACACTGAAAGACATAACATAGCAGATGCACTCCTAATGTCTGGTACGAGAGATTTTTTTGGGGAGTTCAAAGCTTAGAAAGGTATTTTGATTAAATTTGCTGAACAATTTAATGTATCCAGAAGAGCTATTTCCAGCATATGAGAGACAACAAAAGAACAAGTTGTAAAAGGCGATGTAGTAGATGTGCGCAGAAAGTTGCCTGGAAAATCTGACAAAAAAGGATATAATTTGATGTATCCCACATATCAGAGATCCCACTGTACAAAAGGACTAACATAAGGTCATTAACATCTGCCAGTTCAATATCCACTAGTGTAGAAAACACTTTATATATGGGTTAAAAATCACTTTTTGTGCCGGTTCCCGTTACGACATAGCAACCAACGATATAGAAAGCCGGGCTCTTTTCGTGTCGGGTAGTCGTATCCCTTATAGAATGTTTTTTATAACGGTTTTTATTTTAACCGTTATTCAATGTTTACGGTATCGGTCCAAAATTACCCCATATAAAATCCTTTTTATATGGGTTAAATTACCAACTGTTTTTGAATGTTTTCAGAAGGTAACCCTATGAGAAAATTACCACTCTTATGACTAAAAGAACATGTCTTTCCTGATATATGACTCTATGATGTTTTATTCCTAATATGATACTCGCATAAGTCATGCCCATCCACGTATCTATTTTATTAATTTTAGACGAACGTCCCCGGAAGTCCCAAGCCAACATCGACGATGTTCGTCCCCAGAATACCAACTTACATCATACAGGCCGCCAAGGCCCAATGGACATCTGCCATGGGACGCACGTAGCGGAGGCCAGCCAAACATCTTGGTCCAGAAGTAGTGCAAGATGCTCGGGCCCTAGAACTTTAAGCCCAGCAGAACACAGGAGGCAAGCTCATGGGGACGCTCATCCCCACCTCTCGGCGGGAAACCAAGATTCTGGCGGGAAGCGCATTTAATATAGAAGATTTGGTGGTTGAGATCCTAGCTATCCATAGCTCACCACGTCAGCATGTCTAACTACCTCTTGTAAATGAGTTGACAACTTAGCATTCTAGCATTATAGAAATTGTAATCAACTCATAGCTTAGCAATTGTACGAACGATCTCAGGGCTTGTAACAATTGTATTGGATTAAGACTTCTTGTTGAATCTCCTCTTGCTTGTTTAGTCACCTAATCACATGAACATCCACTCGAAAATTCTTAGGTTACATGTTGGGCTTACGGATTGAAGGAATAAACCTCAACAAAAACTTTAAAAGAAAAATGAAATTCAAATTAAGTACAAATTCAAAGTAAAAAATGAGAACCTTGATTTTCAAAATCAAGAAAGTGAGAAAGATAAAAATACCACTAATACTTATTTTCAAAATATAAAAAAAATTAAAAGCTAATCATCCTAAAATAATAAATCATATTAAATTAGTTAAAAATCAATAAAATTCAGGAATTTCTAAGAGAATCCAAATTGATTTTTATAAAAAATTAAAACAAAATTGTAAAAATAAAATTAAGAAATAAAATGTAACATTTTTTATTTCTAAAACACAATATGCTTTTATATTTACTTAAACTTTCATTTATAAAATTCAAAATTCAAAATTTAAAATTTTCCCCTACTTTTTATATAAAAAATTGAGTTGATGGTTGAGATTATTAAAAGAAGAACGAGCATAGTTCAAAGTATTTATAGAATACGCTTAGTTTCTATGTAAAATTGACCTATTATAGCAGGTAATACCTTGTAATGGACCATTATTGGTGGACGGTCCATATAGTTCGGATTATACAAACATAATCAATAGTTGAAATTATTGTCAGCGGACCAGCAATAGTTGAAATTATTATTTTCAATTTTTCCAAAGTAATATCATGCCATTTTACAAACCTATGGCTAATAGTTTATAAGGTGTTCACTCATTTTTTTTTCAACCTAGCATTTCACTATATTCACGCAACAAATTTTTTATTTATTAAAGTCTTACTTTTATTATTATACATCAAATTCTTGCCAATATTTTTTTGCGGATAATTATGATTTAAAAAGGCAAACATTCCAATGTAAAAATAAATAAATTTGGAGTTTATTTTTTTGTTACTTCTGACCTATTTTAAAAAGTAATTGTAATAAGTAAGGGTGAGCGTCAGACAGGTTCGGGTAGGATGGGTTGAGATTTGGCATACCCATTCGATTACCGGGTTTATAATTTAAAACCCTACCTTGTCAAATAAAAATGTCGGGGTATTCGGGTGGCACAATTTCGGATTCCGGTCGGGTTTGAATTGGTTTTCAGGTTGATTAAAAACGTATAAAGATCATAACATGATAACAATCTCACATTCAAATTAAAAGTTTGTACAAAATTACAAACACAATAATAGACTTATACACATTTTTACATGCATATGAACCTCGACCTAGACCAAAGGAAAGAGAGAAAGAAAGCTCTAAGTCCATACTCCACTGGTGCAAATCAAGTTCAAGCAAGGTTGGTCCAAGGAAGGTGATTAAAGAAGGGAAAAGTTAGGAAAAGTGTGAAGGATTAATGTAATAACCTTATAATAACTTTTCCTCTACTTTATTTTTTCATAAATTTGAGTGTTTATAATTCATTTTTTTTGTTTAATTATTTGAGAGATCATCGAGAGAGGGAACTAATCACGATTTTTTTTGGAGGAAAAGAAGAAAAAAATGCAGGTTTTGAAGCATCTGGGGACATACCCGATCGAGTACCACCTTATACTCGGTTGGGTATGACCAAAAGAAGGAGAATAGGGCATTACTCGATCGAGGAGTGTTGATTTTTGAAAGGAAGCATACATACCCGATCGGGTATTACTACATACCCGGTCGAGTATGTACACAAAGTTGAAGTTCAAGGGGAACTGATGCCCACATTCGATCGAGTACAGGGCTCGAAAATTGAAAAACAAGGGATACCCAATCGGGTATCACTATATACCCGGTCGGGTATGTACAGAAAGGCTAAGGTTGAAGAAAGCTGACTCCCACACTCGATCGAGTACAGGCCTCAAAACGTGGAAAAGGACACATACCCGATCAAGTATTACATTATACCCGATCGGGTACCGGAGGCAGACCACTCAACAATTTTGATTTCCAGCCATACTCGACCGGGCAACAACCTATACCCGATCGGGTACCAGAGGCAGATTACTCAAAAAATCCAGTTTCCAGCCATACCCGACCGAGTAACAACACATACTCGATCGGGTATACATGCATTTTAACCCCAAAACCGCCCCAAACACTTCATCTTCCCCAAATCCCAAAACCCAATTTCGAACCCCTCTCCCCCAACCTCCATTTTTAACACTTCTCTCTACCATATCTTCTCCATTTCTTCACCAAATCACCCCATTCCAACACCAAAATACCCCCCCTCATCTTCCTCTACACACCCATACCCACCAATCTAACTTTCCCCCAGTTTCAAGAGGTCCGAAAAAACCCTACCCCAACTTTCAATTTTCGGATTTCAAGCTCAAAATATCCCAAAAATGGCTCCAAAGAAGGGAAAAGGGCAGAGCTCCAACACTATGGCATCCATCCCAGGCTACGAGGACATCATCTTCGCCGACAACGAACACCGAACCCGCTTCATCTCCACCATTGCAAGGCAAGTAAAACCCTCTCGTTTTTATGCCATGATGCCCTCAATGAGTTAGGAGTGTATAAAAGCACTAGGAATTTTTTTCATGAGTTGAGCATGGATAGGATATTCAAAATGCAATATCACTCTAATGAAAAAATAATCTATGAATTCATGAGTTCGGTGCAATTTGAGACCGATGAAGCTGATTTTAGGGATGATAAACTCAAGTTTCGTCTGTTTAACCACAACCACTCCATAACGAAACTTGAGTTCGCCGAACATTTTGGTATTCCGGTCCCCTACCAAAAATCCATATCCGATAATACCGCTTTCGGCCATACCCTGCGGACAAAGATGACCGGGGAGACTAAATTTAGCTCCTCCCAACTGTATATTAGTCATGTCCAACATCCCGTCCTACGCTTATTCTTGAAATTCCTTGCCAATTGCTTGCTTGGACGTCCCAACAACCATCACACTAGGATGCAGGATGTATGCCTAATGTCTGTGGCCCTATTCCGTGTTCACGTGGATTTCAATCTGTGCAATCTTACGTGGGCACATCTGAAAAAGGAAAGCGTAGCCAAGGGCGCTATTGTTGTGGGTGGGGTGATTATGCACTTAGCCACCAAGTTCGGGTATACGGATAACTCTCCTATACCCGACTACTGTTTGATGAACATCTCTTGGTTGGGCCACTCGGGATGTACAACCTTTTCCCACACAGTTTATGGTGGAGAAAGACCTAAAAATATGTAAAACTGGCTCATACACCCCAAGCCTCTCAAATACTTCCTCCTACCCAACCAAGAACTCCCC